AGATAAGCAATGTTGAGCCTGGTCAGTATCTTAATGGGTGACCACTTGGAAATAACAGGTGTTGTAAATTTGGATATAGTGGTGTAATGGAGAATGGCTCAGAATTGTTAGTCAGAGAGCCAAGTTCCAGTTACCATTGTGTTTGTTATATTCACTGACATGCAAATACCCTTTAGAATGGTATGAATCCACCTTTTCTCCCACCACCTATGGGTTAATTAGTAAGGCTTGTATCATTAAATGCAAAAAAATTCTTACAATCTAAAAATATTTTCTGACTTTAAATAACTTGCAAAGAGGTTGATAAGCCATAAAAAATAAACCAATCATTCAATTTCTGACACAATGCCATATATGTAAGAGCCCCAGTGGGGTTGTACTTACTATAGTAATTATGGTGGATCAGACTCACTTGTTAAATATTGCTCTATGGCAAGGCCTCCTTGTTTACTCTTTGTTTGTTCTTTGCTTCTTTCTTTCCTTTTTATTTCCTCTCTCATAGATTTTATTCTTTTCCTTTTCTCACTCTCATTTAAAAAAAAGAATATCTTTTCTTTCTTTCTTTAATCTCAAATTTCTTTTCTTTATTTCTCCTCCCTTATTTGTATTCTTTTTCTGCTTTTATCTCCTTATTTCTCATGTTTTATTTTTTATTCTCTTTTATCTTTAATTTCTTTGAGTTTTTTTTTCTTTTCTTTCTTTCACTTCTTCTACTATGTAGGTGTATCAAATATATTTTTATTTTTTGGCTCATGGAGAAATTCTTGAGAGCTTCTGGATGTTTTTTGAAACTTATGCAATGTCCAAGACTTTGGAAGAAGAATAAACAAAAATCATCAAAACATCTTGACACTTCTGAAAATTTTAAAGTGTTGAAGGTCAAGTTCTCTAGTTTGCATTTTCTTCTTTTTCTTTGTGCTATGTCCCTTAAGGACTTGTGCAATCATGGCCCTCCACACCTTCCTATTCTTTGTAGCTCTTGTTTTTTCACTATCCCTTCCAGTCCCTGTTCTTCCATTATTAGATCATTAGATAAGTTACTTGTTGCTTACCTCTGTCCTTCTTGCTTTCAGTATGTTTCTTTCTGATTTTAAGTGTAAGTGTCTTTTTTATTTCTATTTTCCTTAAAATTTCCTCATTACTCAAAATCATCATAATCAACAACTGATTTGGTTGATCTTTAAGAAGGTGACTTTTTCATAGTATCATTCTGGAGAGTCAATCCCAGTGTGCAGAACAATTGGGAAGGGCCTGAAAACCATATCATGGGTTGAACCAAGTCTTGCAAATGTAAACAGAAAAAGATACAAAATATTAAGAAAATTGGTTAAAGGCATGAAAGCAGTCAAATTGCCACCTTTAGGTAAACATCACAAAGAGAAATGTATGACACACTTCCCCTGTTTTTTAAACAGCAGTAGAGGTTTATCCCTTGTTTCCTGTTTAGGATTGGGTTTCCAGTTCCTTTGAAAGTCATTTTCATTCTCTTCCACTTCCAGTAGACCATTGCTTCTCAGTGGCATTATCACCTTGCTTGGGGTGAATTGATTAAAAAAAAAAAAAAAAAGAAAATGTTTGAAGAAGTACATGAAAACTGATTTCTCAACAGTAACTTTAATGATGAATCTAGATCTACAATGAATGGAGCTGATGACTGGGTTAGAGTCTACATCCTTCATAGATATAACCAACCAACAATAAAACAACAAAAAGATGAAGTAATGTTTTCAACTAAAATTGTAGGGAGTAACATTATAGGCCGTTCGGTCATGGCATCAAAATAAATGCAGAAAATTATTCTTGGACAACAAGCCTTTTTGAATGATAATGTTCTGGACTTGTGATGTGGGCAGTAAAATTCTAAATCTCTTCAACATTAACGATACTGTCAAGATAAAGGATGAGATTTACTGTAGGTTCTTCAATATTTTTTGCGTTGTCCTGGTCATAATCAAGAAACTATAAGTTATTTATGCAAGACAATACTTCTTCATATTATATAAATATATTGCCTACTCTGCCTCCTCCCCCCAAAAAAGGGGTTTTAAAGACACAAAATTAATGGAACAGCCCACAGTCTTCTCAGATATTCATCAAATGGAAAACTTGTGATTCATCATTAAAGGAAATATATATATATATATATATATATATATATATATAAAATAAAATAAAAACATTATTGAAGCAAAGACAATCACAGAGAAACAATAAACACTGCTGTAAGTAATGTTCAAATCAAAAAAGTAGAAATGTTAAAAGAATTAATGTACAAAAATCTGATAATGGTGATAGAATGTCAAGCCCATATTAATATGTAAAATGATAAAATGATTTATCAAGTTAAATGCGACATTGTATTAATCAAACATATGCTTCTTTGGTTTACATCTTATTTACATTGCATTTTTCTTTTAGTAAGAAGAGATATTATAAACTGAAACTAACATGATATATTGCTCATATAAATACAAGTATATCCTAAATATTTTACTAGTATCAATTGATTGATAATAATTTTATTATGAAAACATTGATTTTTCATAACAAAAACTGACATCATACAGATATCTAGGAATATACTGAGGTGATAAATAAATCTGAATAGACTGAGATAGAAAGATCTGAATGGATGCGTAGGATAGATATATAGATAGATATGAACAGGTTAAATAGATAATAGCTGGCCACTTGTATTCAAGGATACCCATCTATTAGGGTGGCTAGCAAATCCCTATTGCAGACTCTTGCTTATGCACATTTGTGTTTGTTCAACATGAACAGAGCCAACCTATGGCTTATACTGCAACTATGCTGAGCCATTACAGTTTCTGGGAGAGAGTGTGTTATCTAGAATGATCAACAATCTGAACAACATCAGCACACTCAAGCCCTCAGTCACGATGACTTGTGATTTTGTGCAAGCACAGTTATCGATGACCCCAAGTGTTCCGTCTACCCAATTTCACTCACAAGGCTTGGTTCAACACCTGGTATGATTTTTAGGTACTTTCCAAAGGTGCCACATACTGGGATCATCCCCATTCCAGACTGATAACATAAAGTCACCTTCCTGACAAATCGACCATGGTGAGATTTGAACCCAGGTCTCATGATCAGAAAGTGAATGTCCTAACCATTTGGCCATGTGCCCATGTATGTAGATAGATAGATAGATAGATAGATAGATAGATAGATAGATAGATAGATAGATAGATAGATAGATAGATAGATAGATAGATAGATAATGAACAGGAAAGATAGATAATTTTTTAGGAAAGATAGATAGATAGATAGATAATGAACAGGAAAGATAGATAGATAGATAGATAATGAACAGGAAAGATAGATAATGAACAGGAAAGATAGATAGATAGATAGATAATGAACAGGAAAGATAGATAGATAGATAGATAATGAACAGGAAAGATAGATAGATAGATAGATAGATAATGAACAGGAAAGATAGATAATGAACAGGAAAGATAGATAGATAGATAATGAACAGGAAAGATAGATAATGAACAGGAAAGATAGATAGATAATGAACAGGAAAGATAGATAGATAATGAACAGGAAAGATAGATAATGAACAGGAAAGATAGATAGATAGATAGATAGATAGATAGATAGATAATGAACAGGAAAGATAGATAATGAACAGGAAAGATAGATAATGAACAGGAAAGATAGATAGATAGATAATGAACAGGAAAGATAGATAATGAACAGGAAAGATAGATAAATAGATAGATAATGAACAGGAAAGATAGATAATGAACAGGAAAGATAGATAGATAGATATGAACAGGTTAGATAATTACATATGAACAGGTTAGATAGGTATGAACAAACTGAGAAAAATAATGAAAAGTGTAAGATAGATTGTTAAATAGGTCTATGCAAAATCATGGTATTCTATGCTAAAGGCCATGTCATGGCCTAACTAAGGTCCAGAATTGTAGGCCTATTTTATAAAGTTTGAATTTCAGAAATTTTAAAAATTAAAATTAAATTTTTTTTTTAAAATACTTGTAATGAAATTTTGGCCCATACTCGACGCTAATCATATGTATTGAAAGTGAAATAAATGAAAATATTTATTTTTGGTGTGGGCATTGGCAAATTTTAAACAAGGCAAAGAGGAAGACAAAATTTTTGGTAAAAGTTATGATCCACATCAAATTATATTCACTGAATATAATTATGACATTAACTTTTTATAGAAAGGTTCTCAATAATTTACTTTTTCATTAATTTTGTAATATAAAAATGTTACCTTTGCTTCTACTTTTAGATGTTTTAATGGTAAAATTTTGCAGAGTAAAAACAGAATCTAGGAAAAAAATCACCAGTAGAAAAGTCATCATTAAAATTAACTTTCTTGAGAGTCTTTGTAAGAAAGACTAGAAAAAAATTGGATTAATAAATTAGAAAAAAATCAAGTAAAATTACATATTTTTGTTAGGCATACTGCCTTGTCTAGCACTTCAAATTATTTTTCTTTAACTTTGTAGTGTGAAAAGTTACATTACATTAAGAACATTAATAAAATTTTAGCATACAAACAGAAACACAGATTATGAAAAAAATAGTTTATGATTAGTGTATTTGTTTTGATAAATAAAAATTTCATAGAGAAGAGCATTAAATTAACTTAAGTGAAAAATGTTAAATTAACTTCCAAGTGACAGGACCAAGATTTCTAAATTATATTTTTGTAGTGAATTTTGCATAAAAATAGTTTTTTTTTTGCAATAAACATAAAATAATATAACAAGTCTGAAGAAAATAAAATAAATCTTAGACTTATTTTAATTAAATAAGCTAAAATTATTTTAAATTTAAAAGAAAATATTTCTTTGAATTTCTTAAGATTACTACAGCAGTTATTTACCACAAAACCAAACTGAAGATAAAAGGCATCACTCCTTGTGGATTGTGCAGTTTTTGGTTGGTGGTGTCTTGGCTCCCCCAAAATTTTTACCAATTGTAGTATTTTTTACAGGGTTTTATTTTAACAAAATGCAATAAAGAAAGAAATACAAGAAAGAAAAAACTATCAAAGCAATGAAGAATATAACTTTCATAACATCCTGATGAAAGAATTCTTAATTCTTCTGTACAATGATGGTAATCTCCCTTTATCGCATGGGTGCATTTTCATTTTAATTTGGAATTGTGGTGAGCTCAATAAAATAAAATATCTAAAAATAAAATATACAAACAGAAAATAATTCAAATTAAAACAAAGCATTTGCTTTTCGTTAAAATCCATATCTCTTTTTCTATTCTTCCACTCTTTCTCTCTCAAAAACGGGGAAGACGACGAAAAAACTAACCCTGACCAGAAAACAGGGGATATTGATGGCCCAGTGACTAAATATTTTTTAATCCCCACTCCGCCCCACCTCACTTCACTCTCTTTCTTTCTATATATTTCACTCTCAAATAAAAAGAGGAAGAAAATGAAAAGACTAACCCTGACTGAAAAACATCTGATAATGACTGTCCAGTGGCCAAATAATTTGTGGCAAAAACCTACAAAAAACTAAGTAAGATCCATGCATAACCTCTACTATGTAAAATGAAATAAGAAATGAGCCTGAAAAAGAATTTGGGCCAATCAAAATATTTAACAAAAAGAGATTTGCATGACTTCGGAGCCTCATCAAAAGGGATATAAACTGATGCTCACAGGCAGACATCAAGAGGGACTTGAAACAGGAAGGATTCATGACAGAAGATACTAAGGATTAAGAACTACGCTGAAGGATTGCCACCATAAAAACCAAGCAAATGTGTCTTGTTAAGCTGTTATTGACTTTACACATTTTCAGTCATTAGGACCAAACCCAGTTTTGTCAGATAACAGCCCTACAGTGACCTGACAATCCCACTTCTAACAGCCCAACTCATGAACTAATTTTCATTACCCCAAAATATAAAGGAATTGCTACCTGCATGTCAAAATAAATAAATATACTTTATTTGTTTATACACTTGACTCAGTCCGTTTGTTTTTATTGCAAAAGTTTTCTAATAACCGATTCAATTCAATTCTGTAATATCCTACAGAATATCAATTTGTGATATCAGTTGGAATGGCTGAAAGTAACAAAATGATTAATCCAGAGGAAATAAAAAAAGGCAGAATCATTGATGCACAGATGAATATGAAAAAGTTTTCATTTGTTTTTGGTTGTCTATTTGGCAAGCAAATATTAATGCAGACAGATGATTCAATCTTCTGAACTTTCAGCGGCTGAAGCCCACCAGTTAGCCAAAGTCGTGATATAAAGTTTACAGCAAGAAAGGAATGATACATCATCCAATTTACTTTGGGAATACGTTTCTAAAAATAGAGAAGAAATTAAGATCAATGATGCAGAATTTCTAAGAAAATGGAAACATCCAAAATGTCTGACTGATTTCTTTGGCTACATGCAAGCAAATGAGCAGAACTTTCACTCTGCAAATGAAACGTACAGAGGTCTTAAAAGCATACGATTTTGTCACAACATTTATTACTGACAGGTTTGACCAATCTGACTTTGTAGTATATGGAAAAATGCAAAATGTTTGTTTGAAGGCTTTGTGTGATGAAGAAGATCCAAGCAACAAGATACATAAGAAGTTAATGGAAAACAGTTCTCTTGTTTCAGTGTATGAAAGGGATATTGACATGTCCCTGCTGAATATCCAGCTCAAATTTTTACTCAATTTATTGATTGATAGAACAAATGCAAATCTTCCAACAATATTTGAAAAGGTGTGATCCCTAAGGACAAAGAAGTATTATTAGTGAAGTCTTAAAGCTCATCAAACTCATTCTCTTAGTGCCTGCTACAAACGCTGAAAGTGAAAAAAACACTTAAAAGAGTTAAAACATAATGGGTGAAAAGCGATTTGGCGGTTTGATGGCAATGCATGTACACAAAGACGCGACTAATTCAATCGATGTAATAAAGATTGCAACCTCATTTTCCCAAAAGGAAATCACATCGAAGTCTCCTACTTAGAAAATTTTCAAGACATGAATTTCCCAAAAACACTAAAATGTGTAGTATTGGAATACAAATGGGACAATAGCTTAAAATGTTCTTGTAGTTCTTTTATTTTTACAGACCCAAATGAAAAAGAACTAAGTAAAAAAAATTATTTTTTTCCTTCATTAATGAATCTATATTTTCCCTGTAGACATTCAGAAAAAGATGAAAAGTTCTTTCATTTGTAATGCAGATGGTTCTCTATTATTTCAAAAATCATTTCTGCCAATCTAGAGGTACTGGGAATTTTAAATGTTCTTGCCACTAACGATATTGGCAGCCTTTGATAACTTAAGGCTAAATTCTAAATTTTTTTTTTTGCCTGCTCCAAAACGTTTGTATTTGATATGGCCCAGTATCTATCTCAGTCTGTTCATATCTATCTATCTATTTTCTATCTATCTATCTATCTATCTATCTATCTATCTATCATCTATCTATCTCAGTCTGTTCATATCTATCTATCTATCTATCTATCTATCATCTATCTATCTATCTATCTCAGTCTGTTCAATCTATCTATCTATCTATCTATCTATCTATCTATCTATCTATGTATCTATCTATCTCATATCTATCTATCTATCTATCTATCTATCTATCTATCTATCTATCTCCATCTATCATATCTATCTATCTATCTATCTATCTATCTATCTATCTATCTATCTATCTATCTATCTTCTGTTCATATTCTATCATCTTCATCTATCTATCTATCTATCTATCTATCTATCTATCTATCTCAGTCTGTTCAAATCTATCTATCTATCTATCTATCTCAGTCTGTTCATATCTATCATCTATCTATCTATCTATCTATCTCAGTCTGTTCATGTCTATCTATCTATCTATCTATCTATCTATCTATCTATCTATCTATCTATCTATCTCTGTTCATATTTATCTCAGTCTGTTTATATCTATCTATTTAAAAGTCTGATCATATCTATAGATAGCTAGATAGATAGATATGAACAAACTGTTATAGATGCTGGGTATTTCTCTTGATGAAAGCCTGACACAAAAAGGTCAAAAGTTTTCCCAAAGGCTAGACAAATGAATATCATGCCAGCAGTTCTGTGTTATGACACAAGGGACAATGAACACAGTTTCACTCTTTCTGAAGTTTAGGCTTCATAAATAGGATTGATTGATTGATCAATTAACTGATATTAGCATGAAATTACAGCCAAAGATCATTTAGCTATCACTTCTTAATTGAACACTTGAGTTAACATCATTGGCTTTAAATAAATTCAGTGGTGTTTATTTCAAGCATCCTAAACCATAATTGTCTCTTTTGATTTTGGATACATGGCCAGTGAAATACTGAGTAAGGTGCAACCAAAATCATTTTAAATAAACTAATATCTCTATCTTCTCTCTTGAGAATTCAGCTTTTATTTCTTAAGTTGTAAGAAACCAAGTCAGCTTCACTAGAGATAAATAAAGACGTTGTTCTTACTGTATAAAGTATATTATGTTAGATTTTATTATGAAAGTCTTATTATGAGTATCTTAGTAGTATTTCTAGTATATACTTATATTTATACCTACCTCATCAACATCAGTTGAGATCATGCACAGTCTGAAACACCATGCCACAGTTAATTGGGAATTCTGTTATGCTTTTTATGGCTATATAGCATGTTCTTGGTCAAGGCTACATACAATTTTAAATTCAGAGTTGTCCTTCTCCTAGATTGGTTGCAAATCATGGTTAGAGAGCCCTGCCATGCCCTACCTTGCCCTGCTACTTAATCCATAACTGGAACATGAAGAAATGAATTCATATGTTTCCCAAGGGTATTTGTGTGAAAGTCAATCTAATGAACTTGACTGGAATTTAAACTCAGTTTGATGATTTCTCATCTTGAGATTTACACTACATGTGCATCCATTTATGTTTATATGAGAAATATATTGAGTGAATTTCACTTTATAATATTGACCCATATTAAAAAAAATATTGATAATAACTTGTTTAGGGAGTGTCAGATTTTATTATGCAAACAAACTATGTTCAATATTAATTTTTATTTATAAATACATCCAAAACATATTTGAATCAAACAATATCTCATATACTTGAATAAATTATTATTTATTATTATTACCCATATTAAAAAAAATATTGATAATAACTTGTTCAGGGAGTGTCAGATTTTATTATGCAAACAAACTATGTTCAATATTAATTTTTATTTATAAATACATTCAAAACATATTTGATTCAAGTAATATCCCATATACTTGAATAAATTATTATTTATCTTATTTTAGATGTTAATATGGATTCCATGACATTTTGTCCCCATCACTTATTTTATACATTGATTTTGTTAACTTTTCTCCTGTTTTGATTTTAACATTACTTACAGCAATTTTTATTGCTTCACAGATCTTCTTTGCTTAAATATTGTTTTCTATTTTCATATACATCTCTTAATGATGAATCACAAGTTTTCCATTGAATAGATATCTGCAGAAACTTGGAACCATTCCATTAATTTTGTCTTTGAACCCTTTTTTTTCTTTTAATAGATTTGTAGTAGAATGCAAAGGAATATTGTTTTGCATAAATATAATCTTCAGCTTAAAGCTTCTTGGTTGTGATATGGACCACTCAAAAAATATCTTGAAGTGAACATCAACTTTGGAATTTATTATTTTACTGTTTACAATACAAACCCAAAACATTACTGCACACCCCCTTTGTTAGATTTTTAGTCATGTTGTGAGACTCTCTGAAGATCCCAATTTTTAACTCTTCCATCCATCCAATGTCACTTGTGTTTAAAAATCTGTTTAGAAATCAGTTTTCATGCTTCATAAGAAGTCCTTCGAAAAAATCTGGTTTGTTTATTTCTTCAGATTTGGGGAAGAGGATGGAACTGAGTGATTCTACTGTATCTGCTCTTAAGACACCCCACCCCTACAGGATGCTGAAGGTAACACCTATCAGCTGTGCCAAACCTTTTACTTGTATTAATTATATATATACTCTACTCTCCCATCAAATTCGACGTATGAGGGTCAAGCAGATCAGTTCCTAGGAAACCAACAGCCTGACAACAGCACATGAAATTTGATTATAGTGGGGAAGGTTTTGTGCAGAACCTTCCACACTTTTTGAAGGGCTGAATACAGAGATCTTAAAAAAATATATATATAACAAATAAATGACCCTCTGCAGATTTTGAATTCAGAGTTGTCCTTCTCCTAGACTAGTTGCCATCCAAAATATATAGAACCCAGTCTGTGTCCTGCTATTTACCCATAGCTGGAGGGAGAAGAAGAGGATTCACACCTTTCCAATGGTATTAGCATGTAAGGGAATGTAACAGATTTGACTGGAATTTGAACTCAAGAAAATTAATTCCTAATCCAAGCCACTATCCATTACTTTACTGTGCCTCCTCCACCATTCATATATATATATATATATATAAATTATTTATGCTCTACTTTTGTATTTGCACTATTTTTTTTTTTTATAATAACTAAAATACTAAAGAACTTTGGATTATTTACCTAACAAGTTCTTTCCTATTTTCTATATATTTTCACACACATATATATATATATAGACTTATTATTTAACTAAGTATAGTACAAGTATACAAATGTAAAGACACTCATTGAAAATCAAAATATACACACACAGATATGTATGCAGAGTGCGATGGATAAATTGTCGCCATTTTATATTTTTAATTTTGTGCATGTGTGTTGCTTTTGATTTTGTTGGCTGCACATAGGGTCAGTTGGGCACAATGAGAAAACGAGCATCATGACACAATTCACTCTATGAGAAATTTGGAAACGCCATGCTGTACTGCTTGGCATCCATGCTGGAAGCTCCAATATGAACATTTCAAAGTGTTTGGATGTCAATCTGAGGACAGTGCAGAGCTTTCGGAAAGAGTTGGATGAGTCTAATGGTGATTATGAAAGGTATTTGGCTTTGGAAAACTCACTCTGATGATTCTGATAAGAAAAGAAACTCCCAAATTTGTTGGTGAGGGGCCTCAGACTCAACACAGAGGCCTACATCAAGTGCCTTGAGGAGGTAGTGCTGCCCTGGGTCAAGAGGGTGGCTGCTGGAAGACCCTATGTCTGGCAACAGGACTCTGCACCATGCCACACAAGCAGGAGAACCCAGTCATGGCTGTCAGACAATTTCTGCCACCACATCACCCCTTACATCTAGCCACCTAACTTGGCAGACTGCAACCCTCTTGATTACTATGTGTGTGTGGGGGTGCAGTTGAGCGAGAAACCAGCAAAACTTCTTTTAACACTAAAGATGAACTGAAGGCAAGGATTATGGCAGCATTGACCAACTTAAACAAAGGAGACCATCCAGAAAAGTTGCAAGAGATTCCAAAGTTATATGGAGGCCATGGTTGAAGCCAATGGTGATTTTATTGAATAAATTTACTCTTTAGTATTTCAAGATATTTTTGTGTAATTTTGGTAAATATATCTGTTAAAATGAGATGTCAGTGTTATTTTCATTTTTTTTATGTAATTTAGACGACAATTTATCCATCGCACCCTATATATATATATATATATATATATATATTTTTTTATAAATATATATTTATTTTGTTAATAATATTTTTTAAA